GTCCACATACTGCTGAAGCCTACCTTGGAGGATTTTGAGCATAACCTTGCTAGCGTGTGAAATGAGTGCAGTTGTACGGTAGTTGGAGCATTCTTTGGCACTGCCCTTCTTTGGGATTGGGATGTAGACTGATCTTTTCCAGTCCTCTGACCACTGTTGAGTTTTCCAAACTTGCTGGCATATTGAATGTAGCACCTTAACAGCGTCATCTTTTAAGATTTTAAATAGTTCCATTGGAATGCCATCACTTCCACTGGCCTTGATGTTAGCCAGGCTTTCTAAGGCCCACTTGACTTCACTCTCCACAATGTCTTGCTCAAGGTCAGCAACCATATTATTTGGAAGTATAAGGTACAACACAAAATAAGATTCTAAAATACAATTGAGATAAACCATAATTCGTACTGTACACCCAGAGCATTTGTGGTATAGATACAGTGGAGCTATAATATTGTTACAATTACATTGTGAACAAAATGTTAGTATATAAGAAATTCTCAAGTTTATTGATACCGTTGGTAGTAATACCTCTGTTAAAATACAGTGTCAACATCTCCCCCTATCACTATGAGGTCTGTTTCTTCGTCAGAGGGGAAGGCTTAAGCTGCATAGTTTAGAAAAGTCTACAACTGCTAACAGCCCCCTGCTAGTTGTGGGAAGTTGCAGTCCGAAACATGTGTTGTTAGCTCTGCTTGTAGGTTCAGCCTCTTCATGCTGCAAATACAGATTAACGTGCTGGAACGTATCTGTAGTTTGCAATTCAGAATCCCTGCGCAGAGCAGGTTGAAAAAGATGCTAGATTGGGACAACCCCATCCACTGTTTTCTCTAGCACACCACTTTTCTATACACAGATATGTTGAGGTATGTAATCAAGGTGGGATAACCAGGGTGTTGTAGTGGAGAAAGGGATGGGATAGGATTCAGGAGGCTTGGGTTTGAATCCCTGTTCTGCCCTGGAAGTGGACTGGGGGTGCAAACTGGTAAAACCACTCTTTACACATCTCACTAACTTTGAAAGCCCTGTTAGGGTCGCTATGAATCAGTTCCGATTTGAAGACTCATAAAAACAAGAGGTACAAGTTCTATAAATCAGTGCTTGAACATCAAGATAGTGGCTTTCAGCCTGTTAGTCTGTTTCAGCACGTATCACAGGAGCACAGAAGAGCCTCTCCAAAGAATTTCAGCAGTATGAACACCTTTGGGCGATGACAGCACACTGTTGGCTGACTCTTGTATGCCTGATGCATCATTCAGTTGCTTCTGACATGAAGAAGAAGCATGTATAACAAAGTTGTAACACTTTAAGGACTAACAGATGCATTTTAGTAAATGTCTTCTCATGGATTACAAAACACTTTATCACACACCATTCCAAAGCTAAGGCAGTCATATATGATTACTCATTGCAGTGTGCTCCAAACAGCTCAGATGAAGGGACA